TAAATATAGAAATCATTTTTAATGAAGTAAATAATGTTTGGTAAAGGAAAAAGCTTTTTGATATAAATCTGTTTTATTTAGAGTTTCCCGGTTAATAATTCTTTAGCGCATTGAAGGGTTCAGATATCACATTCTTCAATAGCAACTCCCCCATCCTTTGATGAATATCTTTCATAAATATACCCAGAGCATACCTGGTTCCAAGAACGTCCTGCTCCCGATTCAACCAGCTAGATGTAAATTATTTTCTGTTGTTGCTTTTTCTCTTTTGTTCTTGGGGTTCATGGAATCTTAACTTTATGTATGTATGTGTGTTGTTGTTTTTGACTTAAAAATTCTAAAGAAATCCTTAATTCATTCTTTCCTTTCCTTTTCTGTTATTAGGTATTAACAGTCTACCTAACAAGGTATTTTCTTAATCATTTTATTTTTTAAATAGGACCCTGAACTAGATATAGGTACAGTTGTGATGAGAATTTAAAAAAATTATAATGAAGCATAATCCATACTGAATTGCATAGTCATTGGTCTTTAGTAGTATATTTTTCCAGGTAAAGGTTCAAGCAAGGTTGTCTGATCTGCATTTTGCAAGTTATTACTAAGCCTTCCTCAAATCCTGATACTGCATTCTTCTTCTGATAATCAGCTTTCTCAGATTATCAGCTCAGCATACAGAATGCATAAGTATTGTGAAAGGATACAGCCCTGATGCACACCTTAAGCGTATGACATGGAAAAATAATAATAATTTATAAATTCTCAAGGGTTCGTGATGGAAGGAGGGTGGGAGGGGAGGGGGAAAATGAGGAGCTGATACCACGGTCTCAAGTAGAAAGAACATGTTTTGAGAATGGTGATGGCAGCAAACGTACAAATGTGCTTGACACAATGGATGGATGGATGGATTGTGATAAGAGTTGTAAGAGCCCCCAGTAAAATGATTTATAAAAAAAAGAATTAAAAAAAAGCATTCAATATCATTTTGTTATGTTCAAATGACTGGGTCTTCGTCTATGTGCAGATTTAACATAAGCACAATGAAATGTTTTGGAATTCCCAGTTACCTATAATTTGCTATGATTCACATAGTCAATAAAACAGGAATAAATACTTTATGATATCTGCTTTCAGCCAAGACCCATCTAACATCAGCAATGATATCCCTCATCCCAGGTCCTCTTCTGAATCTACCTTTGAAGTTCTAGACGTTCTCTATCAATGTAATTCTGCAATTGTTTTTAATTATCTTCAACAAAATGTTATTTATATGTTATATTAATGATAGTGTTTGATAATTTATGCATTCTGTTGGGTCACCTTTCTTAGTGTTGGGCACAAGTGTGAACTTCTTCCAGTCTGTTGGCCAGGTAGCTGTCTTCCAAATTTCTTGGCATCCATGTGTGAGTGCCTCCAGCCCGGCCATGGTTTGGCAGCATTTCAATTGGCATTCTGTGAATTCCTGGGCCTTATTTCCATTAGTGCCTTCAGGAAAGCCTCGACTTCTTCCTTTGAGATCATCATTTCCTGATTGTGTACCACCCATCTCCTGAAGTAGCTGAGTGTCGACCACTATTTTTGGTACAGTTTGTTCCTTCCATCTTCTTTTGATGATTCATATGTTGTTCAATATTTTGCTCACAGAATATTTCACTACTGCAACTCAAGACTTGCATTTTTTCCCCTCAGTTATTTCAACTTGAGAAATGCTGAATGTGTTCATCTTTTTGGGCTTTCTAACTCCAAGTCTTTGTGCGCTTCATCATAATACTTACTTTCTCTTCTTGAGCTGCCCTTTGGAATTTTCTCATTTTCTTCCAGTCACTTTAGCTACTTCATGTTCAAGAGCAAGTTCAGAGTCTCTTTTGATGTCCATTTTGGTCTTTTCTTGCTTTCTTCATGTATGATGTCCTGATGCCATCCCACAACTCAACTGGTTTTGAGTCATTAGTGTTCAATGTAGCAAATGCATTCTGGAGGTGGTCTCTACAGTCAGGTTGGATCTACAAGGGTCCTATTTTTGCTCTCATGGACTTGTTCTAATTTTCTTCAATTTCAACTTGAAATTGCATCTGAGTAATTAATGGTCTGTCTGTTCCTCAGTTGGCTCATGGTCTTATTCTGGCTAATGATATTGAGTGTCACCATCAATATCCATTAATAGAGAACATTCTAAAATTTCTAGCTTTACTGATACAATTTACGGATTATGCTGGGAATAAACCTGCTCCTATTGTCAAACAAAATGACTGATCTGTAGTATAATTGAAGTACAGTGAACCCTCGTTTATCGCGGTTAATCGGTTCTAGACCCTACCGCAATAAATGAAATTCCGCGAAGTAGGATTCCTTATTTGTAAATCAAATA